GTTAAGTCTTTATATATATATTCAATTAATTTGCAAGAATTATATTCCACTTTTTTATAACTCTATTAATTAAATTAAAAATCTGTTACTATTCAGAGTAATAATTAATGAGTAATTAATCAGAAAATATAAAATTGAATGAAATTGGTCGAAAGTTTTAAAAAAATGAACATTTAAAAATATGACTTTTTTGAAACCTTATAAATCAGAAACTATTCGATCGATTTCGTTAAAATTTTTATAAAAATAAAAATTTGTTTCTTTTACATTCTAAAAATTTCCTCGCCCATTGTTCAAAAAATAATAACAAAAAGATAGATAATCGTTAAAATTATTTTTAAATCGTTAATGTATCTTAAAGTTTTGTTGTTGTGTGTAAAAATTTTCGATATGCTTAGAAATTTTCAAACATTGGGCAAAAGCAAGGCCCAAATTTTCGACCTCTTTCCTGGCAAAACTATCGGGACGATATTTTCTCTCCCAATTAGTTTTAAGTGTCAAGAATAAAAATTTGCCATGAAAAGTATTCGATCAGAAGAAATACGTTTTTGTATCTCATTTCGAAACTTAAATATTATTAATGAACATATTTGAGCTCAAGTTTTGAACCATTGAGATTGTCATTTAATACGTGAAAATCCGATCATTAAAACAAAAGTTATTCAAGATATCTTTTTCTTTAACACCGTATCAAAGAGGTAGCAAATTTAGACCGTATTATGTTTCAACCATAAGCAGATTTTCAGAGAATGATAATAATCGTCATTTATCTGTCTTACCGTTATTAATCGTCTGATAATCGTCAATTCGATATTTTATTCGATATTTTATAATTTTAGTGGAAATAGAGACACTGAGATCACGAGACTGTAGAACCAATTTTTATCAACCATTATTTCAATTCTTCGAGTCATTTGGTGATAATATTTATTTTGATTGTGTTTTTTTTTAAAAGAAGGAACTATCATTGGTGATAAATTTAGAAACTTAGCAATTCACGAAACAAAGGTGAGAAAATGTTAAATTTTTTCTGTGTTTGTTTCAGGTGAGCTTTAACGGTTTTTATGAGTATCATTACAGTTAAAAATCAAATCTATTTAAAACGCTTTTTGATAATATTTTTATGATTAACTATTAGAAGTAGAATTAGAAAAAAGTAGAAAAAATATTAGAAATAGAAAAAAATATTTTAAATAAAAATTGTAAAACCTATAATTTTGACTGAAATCATTTTAGAGTTCACAATGATTTATTTTTTTATCAATTTTTTTTCATAAATGATAAATGATTTTATTTAGTTATAATAATTAATTAAAACATTTTAATTTCAGGTTTTGCAGAAAATGGAAATAACAACAGCTGTTTTAGTGATAGTATTTGTATACATATTATCCCTTATGATAAAATGGGCTTTCAAAAGGCACCAAAGGCTTAAATTGTTTGTAAAATATGGCATACCTGGACCGAAACCAGACTTTTTGGGTGGTAATATGTATCAGATAAGAAGACAACCACCCAATGAAGCTATCACAAAATGGCTGAAAGAATACGGTAATGTCTTCGGCTACTTCATCGGAGGTGAACCGTACTTAGTTGTGAATGATCTGGAAATGTTGAAACAGGTATGACTAATTAACAAAATTTATTTAGAAAAAACTACACCGAAGAGCCATTACGTTATGACCACCCTGCTAATAACATGTAGGAACACCTTTAGCCCTCAAAACTGCTAGCAACCGCCGTGGCATTGATTCCACAAGGTGCTGATAGGTAGTCTGAGGTATCTGGTACCAAGCGCTCACCAACTGGTCCTGCAATTCCCTCACATTGCGAGGGGGTAGCGTGGCAGCACGAATTTAGTTTTCCAAGTAGGACCACAAATGCTCTATTGGATTAAGGTCAGCTGAATTTGGGGGCCAAGACATGACTTGAAAGTCACTGGAATGTTCCTCGACGATTCGACCCTTATGACATGGTGCATTATCCTGTTGGTAAACATCATCCCCCGCAGGAAAAACTGTTGCCATGAATGGGTGAACTATGTTCAAGTAGCTTATAGACGTCAGGGATTGTTCAATGAGGATTATGGGTCCTAATGTGTGACAATGTTCCTGGGCGAGAAACCATGAAAACCTGGGCAAGCCCATTGTTATAGATGGAGGATGGTCATAATGTAATGGCTCTTCTGTGTATCTAATTGAAACTGAACCAATTTTTGCTTCGTTTTCTAAAGACACGCCATGTATAAAATAAGGCTTTGCAATTATTATTTCGAATGTTTGCGGGAGCTAAAGCAGCCATTACTGAATAGTGCAACATTCAAGCACATTTTTTTTCAAACTGCAGTTAAGTCTTGATCATCTGCGCCAGTAGGTTTTTCGATAATCATTAATTGAACTAAGACTTCTGTACATGTTTTAACTTGTTAATATCCTATTTATTTACAAAAAATGTTGTACAAGCCCTGGTGGCTCAGGGAATAGAGCTTTCGCCTTCCGATGAGGTGAACCGGTTTCGAATCCTAGCGATGGCTGGTCGCACCAACCACAGTGCCAACGTAAAATATCCCCAGTGGTAGACGGATCAAGGGTTAGAGTTCCCTTGCCACCAGGCTAACCGTGGGAGGTTTTCGTGATTTTCCTCTCCATCTAATGCAAAAGAGGGTTAGTTCGATCAAAAAGTCCTCCACGAAGGTAAATTTCTCCGAATACTTGATCCAAGAGTTCCCTTGTCTTCTGGATTGGATTCAAGATTTTAAGGCTGGCTTTTGATGGGTTTTACATACTGATTTGACATTTTAAATACAGATTTTTGATCGATAGGAACCAGGTAGTTAAGAGATATGACGAAGGTTGTATTGACCATAAAGCGTAATACTGACAACATCGCCACCATCATGCCATTGGTATTTTAAATTGATACTTTTACCCAACAAATTGTTCTTGCTTAGGTGCTTTCTAAAATATCACTCGGACAAAATACCATGTAAGAGATTTTTTTAAGAAAGACTATGCTACGATACTGTTATACCGTAGCATAACAATATCACATATGTAATCATTACAGTAACAAAAATAATATCGTAGCATTTCATACAAATATATTTTTTTTCATGGAACAAGATTGCGAACAATAGGTTTCAACTGATGGTTTTATACTTGTATAAACAAGATTTTTGAAACTATACAGTCGAATTCGATTTTCTGCTGTTACGACTATCGGTTGTTGAATTCGCTAGAACAAGTGTTTCTAATATTTCAATTATTTAGCCACATTTTTTAGAAACCTAATATATATCTATCACCCTCCATCTCATAGCTTTACGTTTTTGCTATTACGAACAACGTGCATTTTTCAAAATATTAATTAGGAATTATAATTTATTAAATAATAACGAAGTGTAATTAATTTTTACTGTACAATTAATAATATTTTATATTAACACACTAAAATCTGATTCCTGATCCGATGTCTTCAAATTCTCAGATACTGTTAGCCACAGCGTTTAAAAAATCGTTACTGCCTCCTGATTGTTACGATGTCTAAAAAATAGTTACTGACGCCAGATTACCACTGCATATAAAAAATCTTTATTGACGCCTGATTGCCCCGGCATCTAAAAAATCTTTATTGACGCCTGATTGCCACGGCATCTAAAAAATCGTTGACGTCTGATTGCCACGGCATCTAAAAAATCTTTATTGACGCCTGCTTGCCATGGCATCTAAAAAATCTTTATTGACGCCTGGTTGCCACGGCATCTAAAGAAACGTTGACGCCTTATTACCACATTTTGCCAACAATCTGATTTTGTCTTTTAAAAATTTGACCCTGCTGCGAAAATTTTAATGTTTTTTTGTAAGTTTCTGCTCACGATACATTAATCCTGTCCTACAATTTAGAAATGCTTTAAATTATGAGAGGAAGCTGGTGTTATTGTATAATGCTGATATTGTGGGATGTTTTCTTTTCAGGTTATGATCAAGGATTTCCACGCATTTGGAAACAGACCTGAGATGTTCATTGATACAAAACCATTAAACAAGACTCTTTTAGCATTGAAGGATCAAAGATGGAAAGAAGTACGCGGATTCATCACTCCTACCTTCAGCTCTGGAAAAATCAAACTGATGACTCAGATTGTCGACAAAAAGGTGAACATTTGAGTACTCTCAGTATACTGAAATTATCGACTGATTTTGATTTTTTATATATATATCGTAAATGATTGCCCAATTTTAGCTGTTTATTTCTACCATAGAGATTATCCAATTTTAGTTTCTTATTAATACTTTTATGTTTATTCGATTTTAGTATTTTATTTCTACTGTCATGATGACCGGACATTAAAATAAGTCTTACAATTTAATTAGCTGCTAGTTCACTTTATGAAAGGTACATAAAAAAATCGGGTCTAGAAAAATTAGACCAGTGTTGTAGTAATTAATTTATTAAATTGCCATTTACTAATAATACTTGTGAATAATAAATAAATAATTAATGTTTTTACAAAATGGTTGAAATTTTTCGTTTTCTATTTATATTGAGATGAGCAACTTAGTATCGAATGGATTTAAAATAATAAATTTAAAGAAAATAATAATAACGTGCAATAAAAATACGACTTTTCTTTTTTAAAATTCGATTTCTCATTCAACTGAACTTTTTCAAATTTTGTATTTTACCATATAAAGTTGCAATTTTTAAAATAATGTAAAACATTATATATCTTACAAATCAAAACTTTTCGACTATTATTAAATAAAATAATTAAAAAGAATAAATATTTTCTAAAAGTTATTTTTTGCATTGAATTATTTTTGGAGTATTGGAATTTTATAATTGCGATTAGAAGTTTTTCAATTCGCTTAAAAAGTTCTCGAGATACGGCGAAATACGCAAAAAGCGAAATTAACGTTAGGGAGTCCAAACATTGGATCGCTCTCCTACCCGAACTATTAGAGTCATATTTCCCAGAATGCGACTACCCTCTATATCTTGGCATATATCCCAGAATGCGACTTATGAATAATTAATAAATAATTAATGTTTTTACAAAATGGTTGAAATGTCTCGTTTTCTATTTATATTGAGATGAACAACTTAGTTTCGAATGGATTTAAAATAATAAATTTTAAAAAAATAATAATAAAGTGCATTAAAAATACGACTTTTATTTTTTAAAATTCGATTTCCCAGAATGCAACTACCCTCTATATCTTGGCATATTTCCCAGAATGCGACTACCCTCTATATCTTGGGTGTCAAAAATTCGAATTCATCGAAAAGAAAGGCATGTTTATTCGGAGAAAGTACGTCTTTGTGGCTGATTTTGAATCTTAAAATATTGCCTGCACCTATTAATTAGCATAGAATTGAGGTCACTCCTTGAACCATTAAAATTGAGTCCTAGAAGATCATTAGATCAAAAGTTACTTATACGTAGATAGATCTTATTTCAAAGAAAAATGGGCTGTTTTCATATAAAATGTTCAATCTTTATTGATTTTCATTATTATACCTTCATCACTTATATTTGGAGGTGCACATGTGTACATTGAACAGTAAATTATTAATGGTATATGAGTTCACTCCCATTTTTGTATTTTACCAGTCCAAATTTCAAAAGTGGACAATTTTGTCCCTTTCTAATTTTAAGTATTAACCCAATCAAAAATAATTAAGATAAAGAAGCTCCCATGCAGGTAAAAGAATTCTATTATTTTCACAATTGACGACTAATCTAAAGGTTTATTTCCTTTTTTTTACAAAAATGTCGATTGAATCGTCATTTGTTGCATTTTGAGGATTGTTAAATTTTAAAAAAACTTTGATCGCGAAAAATTGATTCTCTCAGAGAGTTATTACGCTCTGAAGATTAGCAGTATTGAAGTAAAAACCCTTTCTTTTCACGCCTAAAATAGTTTTTTTCCTCCTAATCAGCTTTTTTATAAAACCGTTTAATAATCCTTTCTTTCCCTTTGGTCTTCAATTGAAAAAGTTTCAAAAAATAAAAGGGCGGAAATGGAGTTACAATGCTATGTATGGAGTTAACCCCTTAACGATCGGTTAATTTCCAAGAAAACGATTATAAAAGTGCTTTTTTTTATCCCTGTATCCCTGATTAGTGCTGATATCTAGTTTAAAATAAACTAACTGTCTGCAATTACCTAAAAAATATCCTGGTATTGCCATCTGGTGTGTAAAATGAGAAATGAAATGTTTTCCGGGCAAAAGAAATGAATTAGTTTTATTCTTATTGGCGCGTTACTACTGAACAATACAGCCCAGAAATATCACGGGAGCGAGAAATAGAAGGCGAAACCTCACCCCGTCATTTTCACGGGAGCGAGAAGGAAGGGGTTAACATGTGGAGTTATGAAGTGTATGGAGATATGTAATGAATGGTGTTATGAAATGTATGGAGTATGCAAAAATGCAAATATATGGAGTTACTTTCATTTTTAGTATTTTAGTTAAGAGTTATTTTAAAAGATGGTTAATATTGCAGGTAGATGTAACGATTGCAGAAGTTTCAAAGAAGGCTGAAAACAACGAAATGTTCGACATATACGAACTGATACAGGGACTTACGTTAGACGTGATTGCGGACTGTGCTCTTGCCATGAAGACTCATTGTCAAGAAAACCCTAAAGACCAGTTCCTGATTGCCGTAAGTGTTAGATTCAGATCCATACATTTATAATTAATAATGTTGTGTCATAAGAAACTTAATTTTTATTATTGAACTATATTAATCCATTATGCAGCTTCATACGAGAAGATAAACAGATAATGAACAGCAATACTGTCTACAAATTAAAATTGTGAAAATGTAACCAAATATATATTTTTTTTAAATTTCCTACACTGTAGAAGAGAAATCTGTTGAATTTACGGAAAGGAAACTGTCAGCTGGTGTGCCTGTATAAAACTCTACATTTTACAGAAAATGCTATTATTTAAAAAGAGACGCTTTTTTTTTAAAGTAGATAAGTACTGTTATTTTAACAGATAAACACTGATGTTTTAACAGATAAACACTGTTATTTTAACAAATAAACACTTATTTTAACAAAAAACTATATAAATTACTGTGCCGGCATTGTGGTCGCTACGAGCAGAAGGTAGGAATTATGCGACCAGTCGACGCAGGGGTTCGAACCTGAGTCACTTCATTGAGAAGCGAGGACTCTATTCCCTAAGCTACCGCAGATCTAGTATCTCAGCATGAAGAAAAATCGTAAACTGTTTCTGTATTAAAAGTTCGACTTATTGAAACAATATTTTAGTGTAAAAATGTTTAAAACTATAGTGGCTCTCCCCTTTGAAAATGCTTGGAAACTTAACTTAATAAAAATTATGCATAAAAAAATATAATAATAAGGTAAAGTATTCATTTGACAATAAAGTTTAATCCCAATTTTACTTAAACAATGTTGAAAAACATAAAATAATTGCTGGAGAATAAGAGAAGGTAATGAAAATAATCGTAAAATGATTTTTAAGAATGTAGAGTTACCTTAAGGCAAAAAAAAACTACATGGAAAAAACTAGAACAGTTTTAATCCGTTTCTGAATAAGGATAAAAAACAGCGACAAACCGTTTTGTCATCAAAACATATTTAAACCGTCAAATATACAGAAAAAGCCTATAAAAAGAACGGGTAATTTTTACAGTTTATTATAAAGCAAAAGTTCTAATAAATAACTGGACAAGTTGAAGCCTGAAGTCTGGTCTTAGTCACCTGTTCTTCGGATTTGTTTCCCACAGGGCAACAACTTTTTTTTAAAAACTGGAACTTAGTTTTTTCAAAGGTAAATGCTTCTTTATTCATTACTGAATAATATTGTATTTAATAAACTATAAATGCACAATTTGAGTAAATTAATTATTGACAATAAATTAAATATAAATTTATCTGTTTTGGGTTGAATTGGAAGGGAGTAAGGATTGTACCAATAAAGCAATTAGTTCTGTTGTTTGTATCTTGCAAAGATTTTTGCCATTTAAATTTATTAGATAAGCAGATGTAATGGTCCCATTAGTTTTAGCTAAGTGATGATTAGTTTGATATCAACAAAAAAATTTTGGTATCAATGTACATTTTAACCTTTTTTTTTTGGACGACTAACCTGTTATATTTTTTCTTGCTATTGATTTCCCTATTTTTTCTTGCTTCTATATTAAGTGAAAAAGATTTTTGTAAACAAGTCATTTTACATCAAAAAAAAATTATTCACGGAAGTTTTTATCCTTTTTAATCATTTTTTTCACGGATTTGCAAACTTTTTTAGGTGCGTGATTTCTTCCGTTACTCTCAGAATGAAGCTGTTGATCTCGCCATTATGTTTCCTTTCGTGGCCAAAATAATGGGGTTTATTGCTGACCACATGACTGCTGGACAGATGACTTCGCTGATTGTAGACAATGTTATGAGCGTCATCAAATCAAGAAAGCAAAATCCTAATGTTAAAAGCATTGACCTTTTACAATTGATGCTGGATCACCGAAAAAATGGTAAGCACCACTTACCCAATTGAAAAGTTAGAGGGTTGAAAGTTCTAAGTTAAGTAGTAAAAATAATGGGGTTTATCGCCGACCACATGACTGCTGGACAGATGACTTCGCTGATTGTAGACAATGTTATGAGCGTCATCAAATCAAGAAAGCAAAATCCAAACCTTAAAAGCATTGACCTGCTACAATTGATGCTGGATCACCGAGAAAATGATAAGCACCACATACCCAATTGAAAAGTTGGATGGGTGAAGTTCTAAGTTAAGTAGTATTTCAGTGATATTAAATCTGCTTTATTCGTTAACAGCATAGTTGACCAGATTACATTTGGCCTTTTTTCTTGTCCGCAAACTTCCAATTTGTGATATCTTTGAATCTTTGTCAATCATTTAAGCTGTTCGTGTCATAGCATTTGCACGCTTTGTGTTTTAATCTTCTCCTGTTTCTTACTTGTCGATTTTTTGTTATCAAATGCACTTGATTCCTTCAAATATTCCGAAAACACTCGACGATTGTCTCGAAGTATCTTCGTTCACTGACTTTTGCTAAATAAATTAATTCTGTGTCGACAAATAATATTAAAATAAGATCTTTTAACGAGCATCAGTTTTTTTTAAAGATATCACTTAGAATTTTCTTCCACTAAATGGCGCTTTTATCCTAAGTCTTATTTGCAAGGGTGGATTTTTTTTAAATGGAGAATTTTATTAATTTTTTTTATTTTCTAAAATCGTTAATTTTTAAAACAATCACCATCTAAAGAACCGCAGTACCTGCCTAGACTTTCCTATGATCTTCCTTTCTCTTGGGTTCACATTGTTTTAGGATGAATTGAATGTTCAATTTTAAAACCATATGACTCAATTAATATTCCTTTCTAAATAAAGTATGAAATGAAATAAAATTTATTTAAATAACTAAATTGTACTTTAATTCAAAAAAAAAGTTTTGCAATTTTTTGTTTCATAAAACGCAAATTGGAACTAGTTTTTTTTAATTATTCACTTAACGTGCATTCCTATTCAAAGTTCCTTACATGTTAGTAAGTAAAGGCAACAAAATCACTAACACTAAGAGGATTAAATTACAAAATATGTAAGCAATATCAGTTGTACTTTTTTATACACATTAGGGATCGTTATTTTAAAAGAAAATGTTGTAAGCTCCTATAAGTTAGATGCAATTTTCAATATGTTGCATTTTGTTAAATTGTAGTCCCACCGAAAACCAGAATCGACTCCTAATACTGTGCAATTGCTTATGCTGTAATAAAATTAAGATCTGCTTGTTGTTCTTAAAAGCTTCATACAAAATCGCATGCTGCAGTTCAAATATGATGTGATACCTTTCTTCCATATTAATTACATTTACAGGGAATTTTTCACATTTTCATATTTGGTTTACAACCTTTCTGGTCATAGTGCCATTATAAGGACTGAAAATCAACTCCTCAACCATTTTAATTTGTTATGTAGCTAAAATGGTTCAAAAGGATTCAAATATTTTTATACATCTTTGAACTATGATCATATATATCCTGTCCGTTTTTTTGTTTTGTTTCTAATTTTAATTCTTTGTGATGAAGAAAGGTAAATCAATGAATAAAAAAATAAAACTTATATTTTAGAGGCGGACTTTTTATCAAAATTTTTAAATGTTTTTTTTTTGGCTTTTTTTAAATAATTTTTAAAATTATGTTAGACTTAAGATTAGAATTTTATCAATAGTTACACGTACATGATTATTAGGATGTTCATAATGGCAATTTTAGAGACTTTTTTACTGTCCGAAATGTATTTTTTTTAATTTCTTATTTTGAACGATAGTCTAATAGCATAAGTATCTTAATGAAGGGGAATAAGAGAATGATTCCGCAAGGCTATGGTAGGTACTTTATTTACGTCGCACTAGATCTGCACAATGGGCTATCCACGACGATCTGGGAAATATTCCTAAGAATAATTCGAAAACATGTCATCACAATAATGTTCCCTAGCAGAATGGATGGCTCCTCCTCTTTGGTAACCCGACCGTGCTCGAAGTCGAGTACTTTGCAGTAGAACAGTTTTTCGAGAACCGATACCGCGCTGTCTCGCTCCCTACGGAGACTGATCGAAGTGGTCACTCACCCTCTTACTGACCGCAACTAGTGATGCTTGACTTCGGTATTTCACTGGGAACCGTGTCTGTACGATCAGTCTACTCCGGGATGAACATGAGGATCGAAAAAAATGAATGAAAAATGAGTGAGTGAGGGCATGAAAAAAGAAGCCAATCAATAATCATAATCTATCTTTTATGTTATTTGATACATTTTTATAAAATACACACAATGGAACAATTTCAAAAGATTAATAATCTATAAAATACTAGCAAGTGTGAAATTTCAAACCTTTTATTAAAATAATGTTCATTTTTTAAGTACCTTTTATTAAGATAATTTATATTGATAGAATTTTTCTATCCTCAGATGATGATGAAAGCGTTGCCGGCATGACTGACGAAGAGATAGTGGCTAATGCTTACGTGTTCTTGTTAGCTGGCTACGAAACGACTGCCACAGCTCTTGCCTTCACCTTCTATTTGCTGATAACTCATCCTGAAATTCAAGAACGTCTTCAACAAGAAATAGACGCAGCTGAGGACTCTAGCTATTCAACTGTGCAAAGTAATTATCCTTACTATGTATTCTCATGATTCGAAAATGGCTATATTTAATGTGTAATTCTAGAATCCTTATAAAAATGAATTGAAAAACCTAAACATATTAAAGATCGGAAAACGCTTTAAGGATTAAAAATAATAAGTTTCTAAACTTTGAATAGCCATTCCAGCTCAACTAGAGACAAAAAAGGATTACAACGATCTGAGATCAGTTTATTTCAAGATAAAGATAAAAAAGTGGCTCTTAGATTAATACAAATTTATTTTGCTTCTTCCTAGATAAATAAATTTGTTAGTCATGATTTTAATCCTTCCCTTGCTATCTCGAATCTTCCTAATGATTGGTAATGGATATTTCAGCAAACTTCATGAATTAATGCTTTAAATTTTCTAAAATAAGCTGCTAACCTTCAAACTACCTAACCACTTTTTTCTCCTTTTTAGATTTACAGTACCTGGACCAAGTGTTCACTGAATCCCTTCGCATTTATCCACCTGTTACAGGATTTGTTTCAAGACTGTGTGATGAGGACCATGGAATCGGGAAATATACAGTTCCAAAAGGCACCGTTGTCATCGCTCCTGTGTGGGATATTCACCACAATCCGGAATACTATCCGGATCCTTGGAAGTTCGATCCAGATCGGTTTTCACCCGAAAGGAAAGGATCTGTCAACACCATGGCTTTTCTACCTTTTGGTGCCGGTCGTAGAAACTGTATTGGCGCACGATTCGCACAGTTAGAAGCCAAACTGGCGCTTTTTCGACTACTGAAAGAGTTTACACTTGAAAAGTGTGAAAAAACGGATGATCCTCTTACTCTTATATGTCCAACAGTTATCATTAATCCTGTGAATGGTATCTGGTTGAGAGCTGTACCTAGAAACTAATTTTAACTGTGTTCTTCTTACCCAACAAAAAGGGTTATTTTATATTTTTTTTAAAAATTTGTTATTTGTTTTCTTTGTTAAATTTACTTGTTTGGACCGAAGGAATTGTGTTGGTGCAGTTGGAAGACAAACTGGCTATTTTTTGACTATTGAAAGAATTTGACTCTGAAAAGTGTGAAAAACTGATGATCTTCTTACCCTTAAATCTCCTTGACAACTACAATCAATCCTGTGAATGATATCTGGTTGAAAACTATAAGTTTTAATTGTCTTCTTTTTAGCCAATAAAGAAGTTATTTAATTTTTTTTAAATTTTATTTTATTTGTCATTTGTTTTCTTCTCAATATTCATTCTTTTAATTAATCATTCTTAATATCCATTCTTATTATTATTGATCTTTTATAATAATTTTTGTTAAATAGTCGCACTAGAGCAGTACTAATCAGCTATTGTTGAAGATTTAGGATTAATCTTTAATGATGATCTGATGACTATACTGGATATTATTATTATTATTTTTTCTTTTTCGCATGCATTTCAATTCCACAGTTTAGATCTGTGGAGAGATGTCGGTAGTAATTCGCACCTGACCTTCGGTAGTACCTGACTTTCGCACCACGCTCTCCAACCGACCAACCATGTATAGACTTTTCTGGCTCTAAAATTCTCGGGAGATATTAAGTTGGAGAGTATTCTGAACCATTCAGACACGCCTGAAGAAAGTTATATTATATTTTCTAACTCTCATGATTTTCTAACTCCTACGATAAGTACTAAAGCTACTTGGAAAATTTCTTGAATTTTTTTAAATACTCAATCAAACTTTATCGATTAGTTGCCAAATATGATTCACTACAAAATTATGAAGAAAAAAATTGAAATTTTTTCTGAGCATGCGCTTCACAAATGATTTACTTAAAATACTCATATCTTGCACAGTTTTTAACGAATTTTTTTTTCAAATTTTAAAACAGTAATTTTGCAATTAATTTTAAATTGCTGCAAAAATTTGGTTTAATTTTATTGAATATTTTTAAAGTTGTAGCAAAAAATGAAAGACAAAAAACTTTGTTTTTTTAATAAAAATGTCCACATTTCCATAAATATTTTAGCTGGGATTACGAAAATTTTATGCAGTTAATGCAAATAACAACTGAGCTAATTGGTACAAGTAACAAACTTACTGCTTAATTTTCCTTACCACTTTGTTCCGCAATATCTATTTTGACAAGATAATTTATAGTATGTACTTTATCATTCAGAATAGTATTTTTCTATCAATATATGCCATGACGTACACCAGTGTGTTTTGGATGACTGTTTTATGTAGCCTAAAAAGTTTTGAATATATAACCAAAATGATAATGATTCTGCCACTTTGAAATAGTAATAAAATTATAGTACGATTTTTTATTTTATCGTTTTCGATTCCCACAAACTTCTAGACAACCTATCTGTCCCCATTTTTGCACTTCTTGCTCCCGTGAAAATGCCGGGGTGAGGTTTCGCCCTTTATTTCTCGCTCCCGTGATATTGACGGGCTGGAGAGTTCAGAGGTAACGAGGCAATAAGAATAAAACTAATTCATTTCTATTGCCCAGAAAACATCTTATTTCTCATTTTACGCACCAGATGGCAGTAACATGATATTTTTAAGGTAATTGTAGATAGTTAGTTTATCTTAAACTAGATGTCAGCACTAGTCAAACACGTAATACAAATACAAAAGCCAAAAAAATAGGCACTTTTATGACTGTTTTCTTGAAANGAGTTTCCATAGCATAGAATTTAGTACCCGATATATATTGAATCTTTCTTTGACGAAACACATAATGATGATGTTTCCTAAAGGTCTACCACTTTCGGATTCTGAAACATTTCATAATCATTTCCCCTTCCGTATCTTATCAATTGATACTAAATCATGTTAACAACAATACTTCCTAAACTTTAGTTAAATAAAAAGCAAATTATTTTTTAGTTAAATGAGATAAATTGAGTATTGCTCCTAAACTGTTTTTTTTTTTTTTTTTTAATTTATGATAATTTCTTATAAGGAAAAAGAACTGAAACTATTCTTTGTGTTTTGTGTGAACCCCTTGTGGTAGAACTACTTTACTTTTTTTTATATTGTAATTTCTCATCATTCCGTCAGGTTTTCCACTATTTTGTTGATAGAAACCTTTTATACCCACATCCTAATCCGATTTTCACATGTTAAATTCCATATTATCATCAGCTTACTTTTTTTTCATCAGTATAAAATTGATTAATGTTATAAAGATATAGTTTTCCTATAAAATATTTTTTCCCGAATTTAAAAGTATTTTTCTGTAATATATATTTTTCTTAATTTACTCTGATATTATTACATTCTGAATAATTTAGAATAAAATTACTGTAAAAAGTATAGTCAGTATTCCGAGAGCTAGTGCTTTTTACCGTGAAATTTTACGAAGCAATAAATTTGGTACATTGTATTATTTTCAGTAATATTCCGTAATATATATTAATATTTAGTAAAATCCCTTTTTACCGGAATATCTTACTTAGCAAAAAGTCTGATATACCGTAATTTTTACAGTATTAATTACCTTAAATTCACTGAATCTCTGTAATTAAATAAATATGGCTGTAAAAATTGTGGTATAAAATTTTACGATTAAATGGATTTTACGGAAAAAGGGATTTTACAGAGGCTGTACTCAAGGTGCTACTACTTATAGTAATTTAATACGGAATTTTTTGCAGTGAACGTTTTTTATTTTGATTGTTTTCTAAATTAAAAGTTTTAAACTAAAATAGTTAATTTTTTTATTATTACGTAATTCTGTGATATTACCTTAGTACAATACACTTTATGATAACTTATTTGAATCGCCATCTAAATTCATTAACCGTCCTACAATTATTAATTTTTGGTGTAAATTACATTAGTGTGACATTATAAATTACCGTGAAAAAGATTTGTTATGTGATACAGAACTTAACGATCAGCTTCATCCACAATGCGTTGCATGCACAAATTGTATTTAATACATTACTCTGTTTGGTAAGCAAAACTATCAAATTACGGTTGAGAACTCAGAATATTTGCTATAACAAGTTACCTTTAATTTTAAATGTTATTTAAAACATTAGACATTAAAAAATAATTCGTTAAAGTATATATACATTAAGTACTCGTTAAAGTATATATAGTATACTTTAACGAGTAATATATTCTAAAGTATATATAGTATACATAGTATACTTTTATATAAGTATACTATATATACAAAGTTTATATAGTGTACTTTAAAGTATATATTCTGTATATGGAATGAAAATATATAATATATATGAAATATGGAATGATAATATATATATATGTATATAAGGCTTAACAATAAAAATAGAACATTTTACTATTCTTTATTATTTGTTTATGTAAGAAATTAATTCTTAAAATAAAATAACAAATTTTGCATATTCATTACAATTTTTTAAAATTTTAAGCACTTTTTGAGCATTTTTTTGCAGATCTTTGTAGCATAAGCAGATAAGTATACTAAAAATATTTAGTCCATGAGACATTTAAAACTTTTAAAATTTAGAAAATTCTTGTCATTAATTTCTATCCTTTTCTATTCTTCTCTAGTAATTCCTCTATTTTCTATTAGTAAACTTAACAAAACATAATAATTACGTGATAATAATGATGCATAAAATATTTTTAATCAAGTAATTTACTAACCTTCTAAAGAAAAATAATTAGTTAATTTTTAAATATTATTAAACTGACTAAACTCGGAATTTGAAGTTTTTAATGTTTGCATTTGGACCTGTTAGAAGTGTTTAGAAGCTTAAATGCTTTCATATAAGGATAGTTGACGTAAGGTAACTACTTCCGGTTATTAAAATGAAAACATTGTTAAGCGAACTACTTACAAAATCTTACAAGGAAATAATAGAACGTAGTTTTCCTACTTTAGCGGAAAAGTTTTGACGCAAAAAGGTGAATCGCAACTGCCTATTTCTTTAATAGGCACCGATTGTGAAAAACGAAATAACTTTCTTCACAATCGAAAAACATTTTTTTTTAGTTCTTGATGTCTTAGTCTTTAATTGCATTATTTGTGCTTTTAATTTGAGTAAAAACAAAGCAGTGCAGTTAATTACAGATTGTGCTGTGAAAATTACCGGATCAAATTACGGTGTAGAGTACATGCACTAAGTGTGCGGTAAGTTACAGTAAAATGAATTTTTACCGTAAAATAACATATTATAATTTTTATGCATATATTTATTTGGCAATACTTATTTGACTAGATACATACAACAATTACCATACAGCAATATTTATTTGACTAAAGTGATTTAGCGATTTTACGATAATTATTACAGTAAATATTACGGTATGTCAGATTTCTTTTGTTCTGTAATATATTTTCCGGAAAAAAAAGATTATTATTTTTCGATTATTATTTATTAAAAACTGAAAAAGTAGAAATATTTACTAAAAAATAAATATTTTTTTTTTGCATGGAATTATTTTTGAATAAACGAAATTTATAATTGTGGGCAAAAAATTTTTCAATTCGCTTAATTTTTGGAGATATGATTTCTCAAAATATTAACATTAAGGAGTTTTAACTTAGGATCACTCTCCTGACAAAACTATTTCGATCATAATTCCCAGATTACATCCACCCCCTCTTTTTGGGGGTCGGAAATCTAAATCCGCTGAAAATAAGGTATGTTTATTCAGAGAAAGTAGAAATTTAATTTTGTCTGTGTCTGATATAGTGACTTAAAATATCGTCTGCACTACTTAATTAGCATAATTTGCGGTCAACCCCTCGAACCATTAAAAATGACTTCTAGAACGTGGAGGTTTGATGATTAGATCAAAAGTTATTCAGGGTAATCAGTTTGTTTGTTTATTTATAATTTTTTTTTGGTTCATTGTACAATTATTTTTTTATCATTTAATTTATTTGTAGAAAATACA